ATATATATATATATATATATATATATATATATATATATTATTCAAATTTAATAATATGAACATATCAACCGAGTCTCGTATATTTTATTTTATGGCATATTTTATATCTGATATATACTACCTCTATGATGTATAATGCACATCGAATTGAAGATTAATGTTTTAACAAAATCAAATATTTCATTTGATTTGTTCTTATTATATATTAAGATTTTTATGTTATATAAAATAAAATATGAGATGTTGACTTTTTTATTTACTTATTTTTTTTTATTAAAAACCCTAAAAAAATCTTGGTAGAAGTAGTATAATTTAAAAAAAAAATGTTGTTTTTATGTTATTCATGAAAGAAAGCCACTGACATTTTCACCAAAATATAATTTAGTAAGTCGTACTAATAATAAAAAACAAAACTGAAATAATTTCGATTTCACCAAGATTGCAACCAAAATTGCGGATTTGACCACATAAAAAGGAAGTTTGACCATGTTTGAATGCGGGGTGGGTGGATATTTTCTATATTTTAATTTTAATTTTGAGTTTGCTTATTTTGAAAAAAAAAAAGTAGTCAGGGTTTTATACTAAATCTATTTTGTAGAATTCAATTTTAAATCAAATTTTAATACAAATATTTGCTTAAAAAATATTTATGAAATTTGTTTTTGAAATTACTTTTGATGTAAATAGGACCAGATATTATTATTATTTTTGTGTTCAATTATTTAATGTCCCAGTCATAATCTAAGAACTTAATTGTGATCAGTGACCAGCTGGATATGGACTATGAATTTAAATATTTTTTCTAAGAAAATATTTTGGCCAGATTCCCTTTTTATTCCATATGTCCCTCCTCCTACTATCTAATTTCATTTATTTTTTCTAAAAAAATATTTCTATATCAATAATACAACTTTTTCTTATCACAGAGCTACATGTAAAATATAATTTACAATAGTGAATATAATATTATAATAAAAAAATAAACTAATAGGTATTTCTGTCATTTTATATGTTTACCATTTTGTTTTATTATGAAATTAGCATCTTATAAACGTTTTTTCATATTTCTACTTAGAAAAGTTGATAGGCAAAAGTATTTTGGTAGCAACTATAGATTGACTCTCCAACAGAAGCAACAGGGAAGAAATAAAATGCTTATAAGAAAATTTTCAATTTTTTAAATGCATTTATATACAATTATAAGAAAAATACCAACATATTTTTTCGAAAAAATAATTCTTTTATTATTTGAATGCGACTGTCTAATATTTTTTTGAAATTTGATTTAGTGTTACATCTACTAATTAAAAAGATAAAAAGATATACAACATAAATGGTTATCTATTGTATGATAATTAATTAATTAGGGGGTGCTAATCTTTATTAAGTGAATAATATAAAATGCCGTTTGCTGGGATCCAACGGCGAAGATTTGACGGTGGAGATCAATCGGACGGCTGGAGTAAAAGCAGCAAAAAAAAAAACATGTTCCGAAAGAGGCTTAGTTGGCACTCGCAGACCAAATGAGTGTGTAAAACAGCCAAGAGACTTCTGTTAGAATAGTTGGCAAATTCTGTCAGTAAAAAAAATAAATAATTATCTGCACATATATACACACACGCCTACATTACATTTGGTGTATCTATGTATGTATAGGCATATATTTTACTGTTTATATACTAAAGCACCTGTCAGAGTAGACAGAGAAATACAAAGCAAAGCTTGGGGATGAAGAGAAGAACCTCATGCTTGTACAATGAAGACTGAGAAAAGAAGCAATGGAAGATATTGTGAATTAACATTGTAATACACAAAAATATTATTTTTTTTCTTCAAAGAAATCATTTTTTTTAATGAAGATTTTCTCTCAATCTGTTGTTTGCTGTAAAAACTTTTCCAATACAGACCCTCTAAAATGTGTTTGGGTAATTAATATGTAAGATAACCTAAAGATGTGACCTTTCTTGGGTTAAAGGCAAAAGTGAAAGGAAAAAGTATGAGTAATGTAATGATATATATAAATTCAAGCAAGAAGCTTGCAAGAGAGTAAAGTGTTCTTGTGAGGTAAGAGTGTGCAAAAAAGCAAAGGTAGATTAGGTTCTGTAGTAATAATGCAAGAGGAAAGAACAAAGAGCAGTTGTTGCCTGCCTTTCAGTGGTTAGCCTGTCTTTTTTTTTTTGTTTAATAAATCACCAAACCCCTCTCTCTCTCTCTCTCTCTCTCTCTCTCTCTCTCTCTCTCTCTCTCTCTCTGTTACCATTAAGATAATTATTGTACGTTGTTCATTGTGCGTTTGGCTTTGGGTTCTATTCTATAAAGGTTGGAATTTGATGCTACTTTGCCGTTTGTTCACGTACCCCTCAACTTGGGTTCTTTTCCGGTTTTCATTTGCCCAATTCAACCACATCAGATCAGCATTTGATGCCATGGCCTCCACCTCCAGTTAGGTGTGTACTATGCAATTTTAGGGCACTGTAATTCCTTCAGAATTTTGATTCTTCCTTTGTGCCCTTTCTAAAGACACCAAACTCATCTCTGACGAAAATCCTTAACCGGCCCTGTCTCTCCCTTCCCTCTAAACAAAGAGAAAAAAAAGGGAGATAGATTCTTGGCTCTTTGATTCCAAAAACTTGATTTTGTTCTATGCCCGCCATTTTCATCAGCCTGTATTCGTCTGGGTTGGTCTTTGAATGCCGAAACCTTTCCTCTTTCTTGAGGCTGAAGAGAGATTGATTCAACATCTCTGTATGTTCTGAGACTGTTTGCTTTGGCCTCAAAAGGGAATCTACTTTTCTTTTCCTCTTGTGAGCTGTAACTTAGCTTAAATCCATTGCTTGGCCTCACTTTATGCTCTGAAAGTTCTCGCCTTTCTTCCTCTCTGCTATCAGTGTATCTCTCTCTTTATTTTCTTCTCTTGACTCGAGTGGGAATAAGCATTGATCCTGTGTTTCTTATGTCCATGGGGATTCTGCAATTAACCAGCTTCCTTTTCTTCTCACTTTAGTCCCATCGGCCAGTGTATAAAAAAAGCTGCATGAGGTTCTTCTCTTGTTCCTTGTCAAGTCTTTCAAGCAATCATCCCAACTTTTGAATTGCAGCTTATCAAGAGAGATTCTTTGTGGAGATATATCTTTGGGATTGCTAGGGTTTTCGGCTGTTGAAAATTCAGAGAAATGGGTGGTGAAGATGGTGAAATGGGATTCAAGCATGGAGATGAGACAGGGGTCGAAATGACATCAATGCCCTTATACGCAAAGGTGGATCCTTTCTTTCCTTCTGCAGATTGGGATCCTGTCGTGTCTGCAATGGTCTCGAGCAATGGCTTCTCAAGTTCTCATTACCCGTCTTTGGTAATGGAGAATCCAGGGATGAGCGGCTTTGCTCATTACCAAACCGGTTCGGGCTCGAGTTATGCAGACATGTCGGCTAGCCTTCTTCCTTATGGAAACGTGCCTGATTGCAACCGAATCAGTCATCGTCTTGGTTCAGACAAGAAAGGCGGAAGTGAAGGGAGACTGATGAAATCAGGTGAGGTCCATGAAGACCATCAAGTTTCAGGAGACACTGTTCTTGGTGCTTCAACTTGCAGAAAAAGAAGGCAACCCGATTCAGAAATGGTCCCTTCTTCACGATGGAACAAGGTAGATTTCGATATCTAACTTCAAATGATCAGTTTCGTAGCAAACCCAGAGATCTGTTTTAGTTCAACGAGAGGTTTAATGGTTTTGTGATCAAAATAACTGACAGAAAGCTGTGGAGGAAATTCGAAAGGACGATCGGATGGAAGAAGATCAAAGCCAGAAGAAAATGGAATCTGAGAGGAACATGTTTGAAGATTCCGGTGGAAAGACACCGACAAAGGAGATGATGAACGAGGAGAACTCGCAGAGCGGAGAAGCTCCTAAAGAAAACTACATTCATGTCAGGGCAAGAAGGGGTCAGGCAACTAACAGTCACAGCCTTGCAGAAAGGGTAAAAACACCATTTTTTTACAGACCGTTTACTGAATCTTGTTTATTTAAGCCACGAGATTCACTGTTACGAAACCTTGGATTTTGTTGTTCCTTCAAGGTTAGAAGAGAAAAGATCAGTGAACGTATGAGATTGCTTCAAGAACTTGTCCCTGGATGCAACAAGGTAAAAGGACTTGGATGTATGGGTTTGCTGTGAGTTTGATTCGTACTTTCTGCTTGTCTGAAATCTTGCGGTATTGAATATCGTCGAATTAGATCACTGGAAAGGCGGTAATGCTCGATGAAATCATCAACTACGTCCAGTCGTTACAACAACAGGTCGAGGTAAGATATCGTAAGCCAGTATGAAATTCTTGAAATGCTTCATTTTAATGTCTGGTCCATGAACTGTAATCACTGTTACAATATCTGTGTCTTTTTGCAGTTTCTGTCCATGAAGCTTGCGACGGTGAATCCAGAACTCAACGTCGATATAGACAGAGTCCTCGCCAAAGACGTAAAGTCTTAGTCCCAAAAAACAAACAAGAATTCATTACACCTCTTAACTCAATTCTGCCATGAATGTTCTGAAAAGTTTGTTCCTCCCTTTTCAGATCCTTCTCCCGAGAGACAGAAACATTCCTATGCTTGGAATGAATCTTCATCATCCTTACGGCGCGATGCCGAACATCCCCACGATGCATCCGCAGTTTAGTCCATTGTCTCAGGCAAGAAACGGGCAGAAAACACGTTAAACGTGTCGGGTTTTCTGCTGAATCTTTTTCTGACGCCTGTGTTTTTCTAATCTTTGTTCAGACAGCGCTAGACACTGAACTGCAAAGCCTCTACCAAATGGGGTTTGTTCCAAACTCCACGGATATTAACAGTTTCCCACCAAATGGTTAGAGTTACAAAGACTTACTGTTCTCTGCAATCTTGTTTTTTTTTTTGTCAGATTTCCGATTTTTTTCCTTTCCTCTGATCATCGGAGAATCTTTGTTACCTTTGCAGGGAGATTGAAACCCGAGATCTAACCCATCGAAGACGATAGATATAGTCGTCGGAAGCGATTCAAGAGTCTAAAGAACGAAAATTTTTACTCTCTTTTCTTTTGTATAGGTGGTATTGATTCTTATGTCTGTGTTCTTCAACATTTCTAAGCAGAAGATATGGTTTTTGTTCCACTTTCTGATTGATGTTTGGTTCCATATTTGTACCTGTAGAGCTTGGTTTCATGAGTTTGTAAGATTGTTTGGCTCACACTACCTATTGAAATGAAGTTCATTTTGTTCAATTTATACATTAAATTTGTTTAAAATGTGATGAATGTGACCAAGGATTAGAGTCACCTGTGTAACTAACATTTCCAAAATATAAAAAAAATAAAAAAATGTAAAATTTGTTGATTTTCTTCATCATTTTGGAGTTTTAATCCTCAAAAGTAACAAAAAAAACTCCTCCAAAATATACAAATTTGGAAGAAAAAAAAAAGGCAAAGAATGTGGATGAGATGTGCATGCTTTGGGCCATGCAGTATCGTATAGTGGGCCATATATGGGCCCATAAGCTTATCTCGAAATTATCACTAAAGCCCAAGAAAAAAATGGGTCATTTTATTTTTGTAACGAAGAACAAATATTGACTTTCATAATGCAAAACATCTATTTTAGTAAGTTACTAAGCTTTGCTTTGCAATTCAGAAAGTTTCTTGATGAAATATCGACATCTTGACCACTAAAAGTTTCCTGAAAAATAAAATAAAAAATAAAACTAAGAATACATTATTTATGATTTAACAAATTTCTAGTGATAAATTTCAAGATGTGCATGATTCGAATTTCAATTATGTAATGTTTCAGTTATTTTTAAGTTTACATTTTTTTAAAAAAAATTTATTTTTGAATTCGATTTTAAAAATTAAAACCCATATCAAATATAGATATAAATAGCCCGTTTTTTTTTTTAATTTTGGATATCTCAAAATGATGGTTTGTAGTGTACAAATCATAACTACACAAAAAAAGTATATTTATCTCTTTTTTTTTTTCTTTCTCTCTTCATTAAATATTTCGATCCCAATAAATTTATCTTTTTTAAATGTTGTATTATTGAGGATCCAATATAATCTCTTTTTTGAATGTTATTATATTGTATCTTCAATAATATAACATTAAAAAAGTTGTCCATGTCGAAGTAGATACCACAATAAATTCCAATTAAGTAGTTGCCAATGTGCCATACGCATTTTTATCATAAATCATAAATTCTTTGCTAACCCATAAAAGTTGTCCTATATTTATATATTATATATATATAACCAAGCCGTGTTAACCGGCAATAGAGTTAGGAAGGAATTGATGAACTGATCGCTCGCCACGTGTCTCCATCTTGATCGTTCAATGAAATCCGACGGTCGTTATCTGTTGCATCCCATGGTCGCTGTCTTATAGGCCAAAACGTGTGACGATCACACCGGCCATTCCTTAAGTGCCACGTGGCGTGAGCGTCGCACCCGCCATAATGGCCATACAACGTAGCACTCTATTTAAATTATTATTCCATTACTTTTTTTCCATATCTTTCCATCTATTTTCCATTTTTTTATAATTTAATTTAAATATATTTTAATTTAATGATTCCCTTTTTATGTTCCTCAGAAGTTTTGAACTGGAACATGAAAATCTTTGTGAAATTTGGTTCTGGCAATTTCGAGTTTTCGTCTTGCGAAGAATTAGGGTTCGTAATTCTTCGACTCGCGTTCAATCTATTCCTTTGAAGTCAAAGCAAAGTGTTGCCTTTTTCGCGTGTAAGTTATGATCGAAATTTAAATTTTGTTCTTGTAATTCGTTCGAATTCCCTTGACGTTTCATCTCCTCTGGCTTTCCTTTTCGCTTCGGTTGCGTTAAATTTTTCCGTTGAAAAAGAATTTTGGTATCGATTGTTCTACAGGGGTTTCCTCGTGAATCAAATTCTGGGTTTTTTGTTTGTTCATGGTACTTTTTGGTTTGCACGCTGTATCGTAAATTATAGTAGTAGTCATTTGAAGTTCAGTGAATGAAATTCTGGGTTGTAATATGAATGACGTAATCTGTTGAGTCCGGGTGATCAAAATTTATGATTCAAATTGAATTTGAGCGCCACCCAAATGATCTGTTATTACCCTGCAAGTATATGAATCCGTTAGAATTTTCTTTTTATCTGGAGTTCTTCCAGTTTCACATCACGTGATACAGAAACTTTATGTCTATTGTCTCTTTATCTTGAGTTCTTACCACTGTTGGGTAATTTTTAAGTTTGGCCTTTGATAATAGTGCAATACACTTGGATCAGGCCTAGTAGGGACGGGTTTTTTTTTGGTGAATTCGTATGTTTAGCTTGTTCTTTAGCAAGAATTTGTGGCATTCAGTTGCAAGATTGTGTTTCCGGGAATCGAGATTCTTATGCTTTGTTTGGGCATTTGTTTCCTGATTCAGTATGATACCAATCATGACATTCTAACCTTTAGAATTCCCCCCCTTTTTTTTTATGGATTTATCCTTGCAGTGCCTTTCGTCGAGTTAAGGAAGCTATGTTGTCCATCTCTGTTTTCGTTCTTTTAGCAAGGATTTGTGGCATTCAGTTGCAAGACTGTGTTTCCCGCAATCAAGATTCTTATGCTCTGTTTGGGGATTTGTTACCTGATTCAATATGATTCCAATCTTTACATTCTAACCTTTAGAATTTCCCTTTTCTTATGGTTTCATCCTTGCAGTGTCTTTGATCGAGTTAAGGCAGCTATGTTACCCTTCTCTGTTTCCATTCTTTAGTAAACGAAGTGTTGGACTGAAAAAGAGATGAACATATCGGCCCTTCTTACATCTGCTGGAATCAATATAGCAATATGCGTTGTGCTTCTATCGTTATACTCCATACTTAGAAAACAGCCCTCCAATTATTGCGTCTACTTTGGGCGAAGGCTTGCTAATGGAAGGGTTAAACGTTATGACCCTTTTTGGTACGAAAGGTTTGTGCCCTCTCCAAGTTGGCTGGTTAGGGCATGGGAAACTAATGAAGATGAGTTATTGGCTGCTGCTGGTTTAGATGCTGTGGTTTTCCTCAGGATGGTAGTTTTCAGGTTAGTGTAAAGCTCTGCAAAGATCGAAAAACCCAATTGTTTTCTTCTGGTTTTGGGTTTTTTGCCAGTACTTTACTTTGTTTTCTCCATTGCAGCATTCGGTTGTTCTTTATTGCTGCTGTTGTTTGCATTGGCCTTGTGTTGCCTGTTAACTATTATGGGCAACAGATGGAACACAAGGAAATCCATATGGAGTCATCTGACGTTTTCACAATTGAGAACATTAAGGAAAGCTCTAAATGGTACAAAGTGGTGTTGTCTAAGAATATCCGTTGGTTTGTGTTATTCTACCTAATTTTATTTTATTGTTTTTTCATATTAAAATTCTGCACCAATTTTTTGGGACACATATATATATATATATATGTATTATACAAGAATTCAGAGTGTTAATTTTGGTTTTGTTCTTACTGTTTCCAGGCTTTGGGCTCATTGTGTAGCGTTGTATGTCATAACCTTTGCGGCATGTATTCTTCTCTACTTTGTGAGGATCTTATGACATTGATTCATCTCCCATTCATATCTCATTCTCTTAGTTGAGATACCCTTTCCTTTCATTTTCTCATTGTTTTATTGTATACATGTTTCTCGCCTGTAGGAGTATAAGACCATAGCAAAAATGAGGCTCGCATATATTACTGGGTCTGCCTCGAAGCCAAGTCATTTTACAGTTCTTATCCGCGGTATTCCGTTTTCTCCTGGAGGATCCTACAGTGAAACAGTGACCAAATTCTTCACAAATTACTATGCTTCGAGCTATTTGTCCCACCAAATGGTCTACCATAATGGCATCATTCAGAGATTGCTGGTATGCACATTTTGATTCTTAGGACATATCAAGTCTTGGCTATCAATTACTGGTTTTTCTTTCATTTTTTTCACCGGTTTCTGGGTTTTGGAACACTACTCAGCTAATATCTCTTCTGTGTTGTACATTACCAAATTTGGACTTCATATCTCGTGGAATATGAATAACAAGCTTTTATTGCTCTTTGTTCTGGAAAGGGAGTTTAGCATCGGTCTTTCTTGTTTTGGAATCCTTTTGAGTGGTTAATCTCCCTTTTACACGGTGCAGAACTACTTGTATATGAAGTATGATGTGTTGTTTGAATGTTTTGGCATAGAACAGTAACCTGATATTAAGATTAAATTATTGCTTCTGAATCACTTATGCATGTTGCAAGTTCCAGGTGATGAGACTTTTGATGTGTATTCTTGGAATTCAAATGGATTTTCCTCAGTAACCTTATCATTGACTAACTTGTGATGCTACTGTGTGTAGTTCCATAAATGCTGAGTTTCTTCTGATATTGCCTCAGTTTCTTGTATAGATTCATGTAATTAGTTTAGGTTCAGTGATACGTTTAGAAGTTCAGGTAGGAGCTGATAAGATATCCTTTATTTGTGATTTTTTTTTTGATGTTTCAGCGTGATGCAGAGAAGATGTGCCAAGCTATAAAACATGTTTCTCCAGATGTAAGTTGTAAACCGGGTTTAACCTCATGCACTTTCTGTGGTGGACCTACGCCTACAGGTTCTTTTCATATCCTGGCTAGCGAGATGGACAGTGTTAAAAGAATGGAGCTTGGCGAGTTATCTTTGACGACAGCAGAGCAAGTAAGGAAATTCCCCTGAATTTGATATTTGCATCTCACTAATCCATTTAGTGTTTGTGTACGATCTGTCATCGATCTATATATACTTAGTATACGTTGTTTCTTCTATCCAGTGGAAAGTACAAGTTTTATAGCAGAAATAGAGGAAGCTTTTGCTTTTCTATTACCTTGTCTTTGCAGCTTTAGAACTGGGGGTTAACTATTGACTTCGGTTTTAGCTTTACTGAGCCAAAAGATGGAGATTGGAAATGATATTTTGAGGCTCCACCACCATAGAGACTTGGAAATCTGAATGACTTAGTGAATTCCTATCGGTTGCTTATTGATTTTTTTATATCTCATGCGTTCATATCCTCCATTGATATATAGTGTTTCATGTGGTTTCAGAAATTTAGTAGTGACACATGCTGTCCTATTTTTTTCGTTTCCATATCAGATAATTGTTAGCATCGTAAAGTTTGACAGTCTCTATGCATTATCTAGTTAGAAGTAAGCAGTTGCCTAATCTAGAAGCAGACACAATTTTATTAGAATGGTAACAAAGTGTCGTCTACTCTATGCTGCAGGAGCGTCCGGTTGCTTTTGTCTTTTTCAAGACACGTTACGATGCTCTTGTTGTTTCAGAGGTTCTTCAAGCATCAAATCCTATGTTATGGGTTGCGGACTTAGCTCCAGACCCTCATGATGTTTATTGGAGGAATCTCCGCTTACCTTATCGACAACTCTGGATACGGAAGATAGCAACATTTGTTGGTGCAATTGCCTTCATGTTTGTGTTTCTCCTTCCTGTGGCCGTCATCCAGGGCTTGACTCAACTTGATCAGCTTTCTCACGCATTTCCTTTTCTACGAGGCATTTTGAAGAAGTGAGTACCTTAATATTTTAGTGTCCGAGTCTTTTTTTCGGTTGCTTTTCTTTTAAACATACAAAACAAAGGAGCTATTTGCTATTTGTTATTCATTTCTCGTGTTGATTTAATTCTCTTAAAACGTTGGCAGGAAGTTTATGAACCAGGTCATCACGGGTTACTTACCGAGTGTCATCTTGATACTGTTTCTCTACGCGGTTCCGCCCACAATGATGTATTTTTCGACATTGGAAGGGTGTGTATCACGGAGTAGAAGGAAGAGAAGTGCGTGCATCAAAGTTTTATACTTCACCATTTGGAATGTTTTCTTCGTGAATATTCTATCAGGATCTATTATCCGACAACTAAGTGTTTTCTCAAGTGTTAGAGACTTACCTGCACAACTCGCCAAGGCTGTTCCCACACAGGTAGTTTATCGTCCTTCTCTTGTCTTTTTCTCAAATTTATACTGTCCTTTGGACAATCTAAGGCTGTTTACATTCTGCATAGCTAGAGGAGAGGATCTCTCTCTCTGGTTTGCTCGCTATCTCCTCAATATCTCTCAGCTTGGATTTCTATTATTTATAAGTAGGCTTTCTGCATAGTTCCTTTCTCTCTACCCATTTTGTTGCTTTGTTTAACCATACATGTCAAAGTACATTATGGTTGCCTGCTTATGTTTTCTCATCTTTGAATAAAAGTTTCACATGCTTGAGGAGCACCTCTTTATCCTTCATCTTCACTCGGGTTTTCTTGTTATATAAACTGCCATCCAGCTTTATCGATGATTCTGAATGTTTTGGATCATTGTCTATCCGCAGGCTAGCTTCTTCATGACCTATGTTTTCACATCAGGTTGGGCCAGTTTGGCATGTGAAATCGTGCAACCCATGGCTCTTATCTGGAATCTGGTGGCAAAACTCATTGTCAAGAACCAGGATGATTCTTACGTAACGCTTAGGTTTCCGTACCATACCGAAATTCCGAGGCTACTTTTGTTTGGCCTCTTAGGTTTCACCAATTCAGTCCTAGCACCTCTAATCTTGCCATTCTTGTTGATCTACTTCTCCTTCGCATACCTTATATACAAAAATCAGGTACGCATTCGACTCCAATATACTCTTTGATCTCCTTTACCGACTTTTTTGCATAAATACCCGTCTCTAGCTATTAATAAGCTCTATAAAAAAATGGATCTTTCATCATTAGTGTTCGAGGTTTGAACTGCACTTTCTGAAGCTGGTGGTTCTTGTCTGTTCCTGTCTGGTGTGTGGTATGGATATCGTGTTCTGAAAAGTACTTGCTATTTGCTCCTGCATCTCTCGTTTAATGATTCATGTACATATGCTGGTTGTAGAGCTAGGCTCTTGCGTTAAGTAGACAATTCAACATGTTATTATTATTACAATCATTTGGACAGATCTCTCTTTAACCATTATGAAGTTTCCTTTTTTTTTCAGATACTCAATGTGTATATTACGAAATATGAAAGTGGCGGACAGTATTGGCCGATTTTCCACAGCACAACGATATTTTCACTGATATTGACACAGATCATAGCTCTGGGTTTTTTCGGTTTAAAGCTATCAACTGTGGCTTCGGGTTTCACCATACCATTGATTCTTCTCACTCTTCTCTTTAGTGAATATTGCCGACAGAGATTCTTGCCGATTTTCAAGAAACATTCAGCTCAGGTAGCCGTTTTTTGGGCGAAACTTTGATATTTTGTGCTTGGATATGTCCCATCCCCATCTCCTGGGCTCTTGATAGGCTTGTTTTTTTTTTCTTTTGTTGCAGGTTCTTATAGACATGGACAGAGAAGATGAACAATCAGGAAAAATGGAAGAGAGACACAAAAATCTACGGACCGCATATTTTCAGATCCAAGTTCCTTCTCAGGAATCCAGCAAAGCTGGAACTCCTTGCTCGGATCTCGAATCACAGGATCCTGAAAAATCGAACCAAGGTTTTTTTTTCTAACATCATCTGACTGTCTGTTCTTGGTGTCAGGTTTTTACATGTTTTAAAAGCCTGATACTTAGCTCTTTCTTCTCATACACTTTTTCCAGATGGAGAGGATGAGAGTGTCAAAGGTAAAGAGTTATGGAACTTCCAGAGCAGCGAAGAGAAAGAGGAAGAATCCGGGCAAGGAGCTGATGAGGTTAAGCCCTGTTCCAGTGTTTCTCCAAAGCTGATCGAGCTTCTTGATCGAACGTAGAGCTCGCTCATTCATTCATGTTCGGGCAGAACACAGAGTTTCTTGGAGCAACAACCATCACATACAGCACAGGTTCTGGCTCGAGCCCTGAAAGGAACGAGATGACAGAACATGTGCAATTGCTTATAGGGTTTTGCTCCTTTTTTGTAGATAAAACACCCTCTAGGAAAGCCTAGGAGATGAAGAAGGGTAAGTTGCAGAAACATGTGGGTAGTTCTCCTTCAGACAAGAAATGTACATTTCGTAGTTTTTTTTTTTTTGGCAAAGAGCATGAGGGCAAGTTTTTGGATACAAAGCGTACGAATATACACTCATTTTGTGGACATCATCCACAAAGGATCTTGGTCTCAATAGAATGGAAAGGAAAACAGGGAGAGAACCCTCTCTTCTGCAGGGGTGGCCATTTTGGATTCGGTTATTTCGGTTATAGAAAAACTATAATCATTCGGTTTTTATATAAACATCAGTTCAGTTTGGTTCGACTATTTTTTTAGTTCGGTTCGATTCGGTTTCGGTAAAAAATGAATTTTTTAAAAGAAATTGTCGGTTTTCGGTTATTTTTTTATTCGGTTCGGTTTCGATTTTTTCGGATTTAAAGAAATTATAACCATTCGGTTTTGAAGTCAGGTACGATTATATCTTGTTCGGTTCGATTCAGTTTGGTTATTCGATTAATAATCGAAATGGTCACCCTTGGATATCCGAATTTTTGGGAATGCCCGCACCTGTCTTATTTTGCGGTTTTTGTTTCGGTCTATTTTCATTTTATATTTCGTTATTTTCATTTCATAAATAAAATTAATCAAATTCTGTTAGGTAATCGTGACCTAGGTACTCTTGGTTGAGATGAAATCGGGTATCCAAACTCCCGAAAATTTCTAAAATTTTATTGATTTACATTCGGTTTGTTGATAATTTTACAAGAAAATACTTTATTATTGTAATTGAGATATAAAAATAATACTATTTCTATATATCCGAAAAAATAACAGAGTGACTCAATTACTCGTCGTTGGTGACGAACGAGAGAATATCCGAATCCTTGAATATTATAAAAAATATATTTTCAGTTTAATAATGTTACAAGAAAATAATTTATTATTATAAATACATTAAAATAATATATTTATTTCAAAGCCGAACTCAGAGCTACCGGTCCAAATTTCTGATTTCATTCGAGGCCCAAATTATAATACAGATATTAGAAAAATGCCCAATTAAAGTTCTTTAGCCCATCAAAATAAACCCTAAAGCCCTTTTGATTACTCTGATAATTATGTTTTAATATTTATTCATTGATTTAATTTATAATCTTCATATTGCCTTTGTTTGTTTGTTTTTCTGTATCCATAAATATTCATTGAAAATCCTCCACTTCCTTGGTCATTTCTTTTTTTTTCCTTCGTCTGTGGATTTGCAATCGGGATCGTGATCGAGGATGGCGTCTCACCGGCCGTTCCCTCCGCCGTCGTCGTACCCTCCTCCTCCTGCGCCGCCGCCGTCGGCTCCTCCCCCGTTGGTTCCCCCTCCGCCGCATCAACCCTACTCTTATCCTCCTCCGCCGCATTCTTACTACCCTCACTACCCTCAATTCAACCACAACCAGGCACCTCCTCCACCGCCTCCGCCTCCGTCAGCTCCTCCTCCTCCTCCACCGCCTTCTCCTCCTCCGCCTCCTCCGTCTGCTCCCCCTCCGCCGGTCCCCGATCCTCCTCCGCCTCCTCCTCAAAGCCATGAGAACAGGCGCAGGCCTCCTCCTGTTGCACAGAGTAAGAAACCCCGAGTCGAGACAGAGGAAGAGAGGAGGCTTAGGAAGAAGAGAGAGTTGGAGAAGCAAAAGCATCAGCATCAGCAGCAGCAGCAGCAGCAGATGAAGATCTCGGAGAGGAAGCCTACGCCTCTGTTGACTGGCGAAAGGGTCGAGAATAGGCTGAAGAAACCCACCACCTTCATCTGCAAGCTCAAGTGAGTATTTTGATTCTTCCCTTTTTCCATGTTCTTGGTGTTTCCATGGATTCTGATCTTGGTGATTCCAAGTCTCTCCATTGATTCTGCTCGTTCCCTTTTGATGAAGGTTCCGGAATGAGCTCCCTGACCCAACTGCGCAGCTAAAGCTAATGACCATGAAGAGAGATAAAGATCAGTATGTACCTTCACAAGGGCCATTGCTTTGTTTGATGTTTTACTCTGTCTGACTTGATGTGTATTGCTTTGTTCATCTTCTTCTTATGGGGTTTTTATACGGCAGGGATACGAGTCGACAGTTTATTGCTTTGTTCATCTTCTTCTTATGGGGTTTTTATACGGCAGGTATACGAAATATACCATCACATCGCTAGAGAAGCTGTGGAAGCCACAAATCTTTGCGGAGCCTGATCTTGGAATCCCACTGGATCTGCTTGACCTAAGCGTATACAAGTATGATAATCTCAAAAGGCTACTCTTTGATTCTGACATTGCCGAAGCTCGTGAACTGGGTCACTCATTGTTGTTACTGCTTTTACAGTCCTCCCAAAATCAAACCACCTCTTGCCCCTGAGGACGAGGAACTATTGCGCGATGATGATGCCATTACATTTATTAAGAGAGATGGCATTAGGAAGAAAGACAGGCCGACCGATAAAGGTGTTTCTTGGCTCGTAAAAACACAGTATATTTCTTCCATCAGTGCGGAATCCGCAAGACAGGTAACAATCTCTGTTGTAGCCTGTATATATATATCTATAGCTTGTGGAAAGATTTATCAGAATGGTTCATCCTTCATGGCACAGTCTCTAACTGAGAAACAAGCCAAGGAACTGCGAGAGATGAAGGGAGGATTCAACATCTTGGAAAATCTTAACAATAGGTGTGATGTTTCTCTAACTTATCTAATTGTGATGAAATGGAAGGGAGGGGGGAAAAACATAATGTTGAGATGATTCTCTATATGTTGGAATCCAGGGAGAGGCAAATCAAGGAAATCGAAGCATCCTTTGAGGCCTGCAAATCTCGGCCTGTTCATGCTACAAACAAAAACTTGCACCCAGTTGAAGTTATGCCTCTGTTGCCGTATTTTGATAGGTTAGCTGCTTCCTTATCCTTGTCACGGAATCATATTGGCTCTGATTATGCCAATATCGGGTTTGTTGAGGCCTAACCGTGCAACACCCGAAGGGGGGGGCATAATTTTGTAGAATTTTTCACTTTCCTCTGTTTCATGTTCTGTTCAATTATTTCTTTCATTGGGATGAGGTGAATAACCATTTTGGTTGGCAAATCAGTTATGTGTTGTCACTGAACTTTGTAGCATACACTAACCTTTTTTGTCTTTTTGGCGCTTGTTTTTGACACAGGTATGAGGAGCAATTTGTTGTAGCAAATTTTGATAGTGCTCCTACTGCTGATTCTGAATTCTTTGGCAAGTTGGATCCATCACTTCGTGATGCCTATGAGTCACGGGTGAGTTATTGATTCCTGTCTTGACTCGGCTCTGAGATCACTGATCATGCACAGTGATATCTCTGCGTTCTTGCCAAGGGACGATGCGTTCCTGATAGACGAGAAATCTGTGGAAACAATATCATGTTTGTTGAGCATATTCCAATCGAGATCAAATTCAAGTTGAAAAACATTTTAGAAACTGTGATTAGTAATTAGGATAACATAATCAAGAGAACCGGCCTTTCTTTTGCTTACTGTCTAACGTATATGGGTGATGCATCATACTTCTTGAGCTGACATCATATGCTTCATTACAGGCTCTTCTGAAAAGTTACGCGGTGTCTGGATCAGACCCTGCAAATCCAGAAAAATTTCTGGCTTACATGGTTCCTTCCTTGGATGAGGTTGGGACATGACATTTCCACTGGTTGCTCTCTCCATTGTTCACAAGTCATACAGGTCACTACAATTCCGATTTCATTAACTGTATCATTGTGTTGCGATGGCAGTTGTCCAAGGACACGCACGATGAAAATGAAGAAATCTCGTATTCTTGGGTCCGGGAATACCACTGGGACGTACGTACAAAAACATCGAATTAGTTGAATAAAGTTGTGAACCCTCCTCAATTTCTCATGAAAATAAACATTTTTTCTTTCTTGAATGCTGTAACTGGTAACAGGTTCGAGGTGATGATGCAGATGATCCCACCACATATCTTGTGTCGTTTGATGACAGGGTGGCTCGGTATCTGCCCCTTCCCACAAAGCTGAACTTGAGAAAAAAGAGGGCCCGAGAAGGAAGATCTTCGGATGAGATTGAGCATTTTCCGGTACCTTCAAGGGTGACGGTAAGGCGAAGATCTAACGTGTCGGTCATAGAGCATAAAGATTCCGAGGTAACGTCATGTATACATACACACACACACACTCCTCAAGAAGGGAACTCTGTTGGAATTGTTCTGATTATGTTTGTGGAATTGGTTGTTGCTATGTTGTTCTTAGGGTTACTCAAACTCTAGGGTTGGTGGTTCGAGCTCCAAGATGAGAAGGTTCGAGGAGGAAGGCATTGGTCGATCATGGAAACAGCACAATGATGCCAATGAATACAGTGGAGGTGAAGAAGACGAGTTCTCCGAATGAGTTGAGTGTATGTAAAGAATCTGATATATATTCTTTTCCATCATCTTCTTGTTTGTTTTATTAGTTATGTTGAAGATCCCGAACCCTCCTTTCCCCAACTCATTTTGATAAATATGGAAACTTTTCATTATATATCTCTCCCCCTGACATCTGACACTTTTATAAATGGATATAAACATCACAACAACGTGTCTCTGTATACACCAGTTATAATACTTTTGCCGAAACCCATTTGTGAAATTGTATTTCCGTATAGTTTATGATAATATCATTTCATTATTATGTAATAATATTATTACAAAGTAAAAGCTTGTAATAGCCTGAACTTAGAAGGGAGTGTTCAGCTTCATGAGAGTATCTGATGATTTTATATATAAAAAAAAATGATTCAGTCAATCTGAAGAACCCAACCCTTTTTGTCTTCGATTGAACCAGTTTGGATTCCGACAAGAGCAGATCGAATCTGTTCTGCAACAAGACCGTCGTCGTCTCTCACTCTGAACTCAGTTCTGCAAGTTCCGGTTCACAAAATTTCAGTTTCGTTTCGTATTGACAACGCGTTAATCAGATCAAGCAATCTAAACCCAACACAAAGTAATTCAATTTTCTTCAATTGAAAAAAAAGGGACCTTTTGTTCTGGTAAGTTATGCTTCCAACTGAAGCAACTCCAATGGCGGTTCCCGTGCAGAAAACTTCATCTGCCTTCTTTAGCTCATCCACCGAAACCGGGCGTTCTTCCACCTGTTTCAGCACCCAAACTTTTCGGACTGAACACTTTTGAGCTCAAACTCATGATCCTTTCGAACGAAAAATTGCCCGAAGATAGCAGAAAAGAGCTGCAGAAGAATTCCAGCAAGAGATTGCAGAAACAGCCCGGAGGAAGATTTGGTTTCTTGGACTCCAAGCAACAGATCAAATCTTCTCTTGTTTTTGTTATTGACTCATAATAACTTTGATTATGCTATTTGTTACGCTTATTTTCTCGATAAAAAGAGATTAGACGTCTTTTAAAACTACTTCAGATGATCAAAATCTGAGATTATTCAGAAACAGAAGCACACACATGTCGGGTGAGTTACTGACCTCGTATCCTAGGTCTAGTGCGATCTCTATAACGCTCTTTCTCGTTATCCCTTCGAGAATCGTTCCGCTGGTAGTCGGAGTCACTATCACATTCCCCTGAAAGATCGAAACTTTACTGCAAAGCTCGTATCACATTGCACACTCTCGCTTCGTTCGATATCAGTACGTACCTTCACAAGGAACACATTAGAAGCAGATGATTCTTCTATATTGCTCCTGTTCTCTGCGTCCAGGTACAATACATCTGAAAACCCTCTCTCCTTCGCTCTTCTCATCGGTTCAAGAACCTTGAGAGACAAGCAAACGATAGAAGAAAGAATTTGTTGGTTAGCCACTTAATTAGACACGCTGCTGAAACCCTAGAGAGAGAGAGAGAGAGAGACGATCAATCTGACTCACTGGACTGTAGTTGGCAATGGTTTTGACGCTTCCAGTTCCTCCTCGAAAGGCTCGTGACACTTCCTCCTCCACGTAAAGGTTCAGC